GAGTTTGTTTTTGGGGGAGTTTATGCCTTTTTTAGAAACAATCATTTATTGGGAGAGCGGCGGAAAGTGAACGGAACTGTTTGTGTTCTTGGGAAGCTTGCTGATGGGATAATTGCTGAGGAATTAGGAATATTTTCTACCGAGGTGAATCAACATAGAAAGAACTGGTGAACGGACTAAAGTGGGAACATTCTCTGCAAGGAAGAGGGTAGCTGCTGTGGAGAAGAAACAATTGGAATATTATTGTTAATAGGAATTAGATGTTTTATAATTGAATATATTGTAAGAGGAGTGTAGTAATAAGTATTACTGTGTATTAATAGATAAGTTTATCGATCTTGTAACTGGTTTAGTTTCGTACTGCGAGAATGTATGTATTAATTGTATGCTGAACGGTATGCATTTGATTGAGTTGAATCTGTTATTAATGAAATAAGGTTTATTTGTTATTATTATTATTAAGGAAACTTTGTATGAGACTTTTAAGATTTTTATAATAAGAGAATAAGCTACAGTAAATAGTTTTGATATATAAGTATTAGGAATTTCATTTAAAGAATTGGGATACGGCTCATTTGATATATAGTTGTTAAAATTGAAGTTTAGGTATAATTGTTGTAGTTATATTGTGCTTTATGATCTTTAATTCGATGAGAGTGGTACTTATCTATTGATTTGATTTGGCTTAATACCAAATTAATATTACTAATATTTAGTTATACGAAAGAAAGGAAAAGCAAGGAGAACTGTGAACTAAGACTGTATTTCGTTATTGTTATTGAGTGCTGAATGATTTGTATGGTTTTTGGTGTGTTTGTTATGGATCTTAACTCAGGTTTTACTATCATGAAATATATGATTGAATACACTGCCTGATTTTGCCTTTCTAAAGAAAGTAGGAGAGTAAAGTTTGTTATATTGAATATATATAGCTATTTANTGGAGTTTTTTTATTAATTCTTTTGATTTATTTTGCTTGTTGATAATTGTCTAAAATTTTGTCTTTATTTAATTAAGTATGAAATGATAGAGAAGGGCTTGTAAAGGTTTGATATTAATTGATGATTGTGTAAGCTGTAAGAAATTGTTGGTGTGTGGTTTATGTTTACTGCTGCATTTTGTCATTAAGAAGATTCTGATATTTTTAATTTATAATTGGCTGGGTTTTGATAAAGATTGGAAAATATATAGGGATTATTATACACATATATTGTATTTTGGTTGTGAGTATTAAGATGAAGCTGAACTGAGGTTCAGTTGATTAAGATTTTACAAAATTTTTGGTTGGTTTATTGTTAATGAGCTGGGTGTTCTGTAAAGGGATTGGATTCTACATTATTGTTACCTTGTCTTGATTTGACTATTGTTGATGCAGGCATATTTCAGTTTTGGTAAAAAGAGGAAATAGTTTCATAAATAAAGACTTGCGTGTGCTGGTCCTTATTAATTGTTAATTAGTTTGCTCAGATTTGCTTGTGAACGATATAAAAGGGAGAGGAAGTAAAAAGAAAATTTTTTCTGTCTATGGTCGTTAGCAGGATGTTTAGTCGAATGTAAACTGTTTTACATATGTAGAAAGCCCAATATGAAGTGTTTGGGGCTATGACACGATTATTATTTGGAAAATTTTAAAGAAAATATTTCTAATTGAACGAAGGAAGTTTTGTTTTAGGATAGCACTTTTATTTTTGGAAGAGGTTGTTTTTCTAATTATTTGATCCTTTGGGTTGTTCTGATTTATTTAATCTTAATAATAATCGGTTTATTCATTTGTTAATTGTTAAGCGATAAAAAGAAGGCATATAATGGATAAAATTTGAGTTAGTTGTTTCTTGATGGAAGTTGATTACTTGTCAAGGATCTAGTCACGTTTTGTAAAAAATCTTTGTACTTTCTTTTATTATTAGTTGAGAATTTTTAGTATAAAAAGGGTATTGTGTATGGTGTCTAGCTAGATGTTTAATGAACGGGCTCTTTATAATCATTGGAGCAGAATATAGAATAAATCGGGTTCATTTGGATAAGGAGGGATTCAGTTATAGTCGGTGAAACGCATGGAAAGGAAGGAAGTTTGGACAGTCGATATAGTAGTTTGATTTGGTACGAGTTTGAGAGAGTAGGAGTGTGATGGGATAAGAGATGGTTAGGTAGGTTTCTAAGTAGACTGTGTTTGGTTTCTTACCGTTGTTGGATAAGGCTTTGAATGTGGAGTAATACTGGTTGAGGTAGTACAAGGGGTTACGGTATTAGAATATTGAGAATAAAAGAAAAAGATTTAAATATAATTAATCTAGATTTGTGTTGCCTTTTAAGGAAGTGAAAGGTGAAGGAGAATCTTGAGATCAGATCTATAGGGGATACTGTAGGAACCTAGCGGTTGTTCGCGGCTTTATTGAACCTAAAATAAAGTCATCTTTTGTACGCTCTTTTCATTAACAAGAGTTTTATGCTGTTAAGGATAGAGGAAGGGAGGGAATTTTGGAATGGTAAAGGTCAATGGACCGTAGTAGGATCGATATTGACTTTGTCTGCTCGAATTGGTTGCTGTCTGTCTAACTGAGGGAGATTTTATAAAAATTTGAATTTCCTTTTGTCCTTCTTGGAAAATTTTTGGTTCCGGTTTGACTGGCGGTTTTGCTTGATTTTCTTGGTGAGAATGGCTGGATACCTGAAATTTGTACAGATTAATTTACACAGGACAAGGGCAGCGGTAGGTGCATTGTCAAGTTTAATGGTGAAGGATGGAATTGATATAGCGTTGATTCAGGAGCCGTGGACGGTAAATGATAAGATAAAGGGCTTGGGAATGACAGGTAACGTTTTGTATAACTGTAATGATGGAAGGCCGAGAACATGTATAGTGCATACTGGTAGAATTAAGCCGGTGTTATTGCCGCAATTCAGTGACAGGGATATCACTACGGTTCTAATGGAAAAGAATAATGAACGCTCGCGTCTCTCAAAGTTAATCATTGTATCTGTATACATGCCGTATGACAGGAGGGATCCGGTATCAGAGAAATTGGATTTGCTGGTCGATTGGTGTGTTCAACAGGGGATCAGTATGCTGGTAGGAGCGGATGCGAATGCGTGTCATACTTTATGGGGAAGTTCGGTTATAAATAACAGAGGTTTGAAACTTTTGGATTTTATGAATATAAATGGGTTGACTTGGTTGAATGAAGGTTCGGTACCGACGTTTAGTACCTCGATTAGAGAGGAAACGCTAGATATTACGATGGTTTCGCTGGAGATTAGATCGGCATTAAGTCAATGGAAAGTTTTAGATGACCTATCGTTATCGGACCATAGATTTATCTCGTTTAAATTGTTGATAGAAGGAGTTCCTATCAATAGGATTGTTAGTGATAAGAAGTTGTTGAATGTTGAGAAGTTCTTGGATAGTCTGAAGGATAAGCTAAGGGAATCTCCTAAAGAGTATGGTACACCGCTACAGATTGACTCTTATGTGGAATATATTACGGACGCTATTATGAAAGCGGCAGACGAAGCTTTGGAAAAGAAGGTGAAAGGGTTCAATGGTAGATTGCCGTGGTGGAGTTCGAAGCTTCAGGATCTTAGTCGGAGGGGTAAAAGTTTGAAAAGAAAAGCTCGGAGAACGAGAAGAAGCGGGGATAAGCACAAGGCAAGAAGAGCGGAGTTGAGATTGAATAGGGAGATTCGTAAGGCGAAAAAGAGTTCGTGGAGAGGTTTTTGTAGTGGTTTGAAAAAGACGCAGGAAATTGCGAGGATAAATAGGGTATTGGAAAGAGTGGATCAGAATAGTTTGGGACTGTTAAGAAAACGGGATGGTATGATGACCAGAGATATTAGAGAAACGTTGGAAACCTTGATTATGGAACATTTTCCTGGAGCATTGAACATGATGGATATAGATGATAACGCTGGAGGTGAAAATACCTTGGGAATGAGACCAGTTAGACCGAATTGGAGTCTGGCGGCGAGTATTATCACGGAAGAGAGAATTGGTTGGGCAATAAGTACGTTGTTGCCGTATAAAGCACCTGGTCCTGATGGAGTTGTTCCCAGATATCTGAAAGTAGGAAAGAAGTTAATTTCAGAGCATTTGGTAAAAGTAATGAGATCTAGTTTAGCAATAGGTCATGTTCCTGCTTTATGGAGAAAGACGAAGGTTACTTTTATACCAAAGCCAGGAAAGTCGGATTATGCTTCTCCGAAATCTTTTAGACCGATCAGTCTTACCTCGTTTCTACTGAAAACGATGGAGAAGCAGATTGATAGATATTTTAAAGATGTGGTCCTGGTGTCGTCTCCGTTGTCTGATAGGCAGTATGCGTTCCGAGTTGGTTTCTCTGTAGAAGCAGCTTTACATGGTATTACTAGATGCTTTGAGGATGCGTTCTATGGGAGGCAATACGCTGTGGCCTGTTTTATGGATATTGAGGGAGCCTTCAATCAAACGCCTAAAGATATTTTTATTAAAGGAATGACAGATCATGGCGTAGATGTGACGGTGATCAGATGGGTTGACAAGATGTTGTCGGATAGATTGATTACTACGGAATTTGGGGGTATAACTGCTGGTGGACTAGCGAACAGGGGTTGTCCGCAGGGAGGTATCTTATCACCGGTACTGTGGTGTCTGGCAGTGGATTCGCTTTTGGAAAGATTGAGATTGAATGGATTTCAAGTTTGGGGATATGCTGATGACATTGCAGTGGTAGTGACGCACGAGGATGGAAGGATTGCTAAACGTTTGATGGGTTCTGCGCTGAGATTGGTGGAGGAATGGTGTGCAGAGACGAATCTCGGTTAATCCTACTAAAACGGAGTTACTGGTGGTAACGCGAAAAGTGAGGAAGCTGGATGTTCGAGGGATCAAATTAAATGGGATTCAACTTGTAAAATCAGAACAGGTAAAATATTTGGGTGTTACTTTTTCGTATAATCTTTCTTGGAGAATACAGGTAGAGAGGACGGTTAATAGAGCAAGGAAGAATTTGGCTACGATCAGTAGAATGGTTGGAAGTACTTGGGGCCTTACACCGGCGGCGGCTCACTGGATTTATAGTTGCATCATCTTACCGAGGTTGTTCTTCGGTGCGTTGATATGGTGGGAAGGTATACGAAACGTAAGGATTTGTAACAGATTGGAAAGTTTGCAGCATGTGGGTTTAAAAAGGATCTTGGGAGCGTTTCGAAGTTCTCCTATGAGAGCGATGGAAGCAATGTTGGCGATGCCGCCGCTTTCCTTTCGTATTGAAGAGGTGGCGATACGAACTGCGAAGTTGTTACGTGACTGGGGCAAATGGCAACCGACGGACAGAGGTCACTCGTCAATTTTAATAAAATGTATACCTGAAACAGAGAGAAATCTTTTAATGGTTTTGGAAGCTGCTACCGACAAGATCAGTCTGACGTTTTGCTTTGGGAAAAGATTTAGGACTATGATTCCTGGGAGAGACGAGTGGAAGAATGGTAAGCTGGAGGGATTTGCAAACTGGAATACATGGTTTACGGACGGTAGCAAGGATGAAGAAAATGCTACGGGTTGTGCATGGGTTTCGGAATCAACGGGTGAGAGTGGATCGGAATATTTAGGTAAATTTGCAACGGTATACCAGGCGGAGGTTGTAGCAGTATTGAGGTGTGCGGAAGGTTTAATCAGAAGTGGGATAAGAGGTGAAAATATTATTATATTTACGGATAGTGAATCAACGGTAAAGACTATGGAGAGATCGAGTTTCAGATCGGCAATTGCACTGGAGTGCTGTGAAATTTTAAATGAATTGGCACTGATTAATAGAAAGGTAGTTTTAAGTTGGTGTCCGGGACACAGAGGTGTTTCTGGTAACGAGGAAGCTGACAGATTGGCGAAGCTTGTAGTGAAGGAAGGTAGACCGGGGGTTGAACCTTGGTTACCGGTATCGTATGCAGGATTTAAATCGGAATTGAAGAAATTCTCACAATCACGACTGGCTAGCAGATGGTCCGAAACGACGACTTGCAGGCAGGGAAGAGAGATGATTGGTGAAATATGCATAGGTAAGGCAAAGATGATTTTGAAATTGAATAGAAATGATGCGAGAATTCTAACGTATGTCTTAACGGGACACGCTCCGTTGGGATATCATTTATATAGGATGGGAGTCCGGGAAAGTGGATTATGTTCTTGTGACACGGGTGAATTACATTCTGTGAAACATCTTCTTTCTCATTGTGATAAATTTGTTAGAAAAAGACGTGAGATTTTTGGTAGCTTAGACTTACAGGACCTTTCATTGGATTCAATACCTTATGAGAAATTGATAAGATTTTTCAAGGCTATTGATCAATGGGATAGAGTTGCAGGTATTGTTGTTTAATTAAGAGAAATAAGAATTTATTTCAGGAAGTTTCTATGGAGTTTTCCGATCAGTCTAAGAGGGATGGTGGAACTGCTTTTTCTGGCTGGGAAATCGGGATTTAAGAAGTTGTTGGAGACTATATATAGTTTGTTGTTAAAATAAAGGGAGTAGGAGGTGACTTGGTATGTATAATTAAGGAAAGATCTTGGGTTGAGGTGATAAAAGTAACGGTTTTTGGGCATGTTGTATAAATTAAAGGATATATTTAATCAGGCTTACGAAATAATTGTATAGATTACCTTTTAATTAGGAGTTTTCTTCTATTTTTAGTTTCATTCGAGTACCTCTGGACAGTTGTTCCTCTTTTTATTTATTAACAACAATGAGCTGTTAGTTAACCTTCCCTGGCAGGTCTATTTCATGTAGGAGTTTTGTTTCATTCGAAACGTCTGAAAGAAAGAGATGATTAGTCTTGTGGAAAATTTGGGCAATAAATGATATTTAAATTGAGCGGTTGGTGTTATCCTTGTCTAAACTAGAACGCGGGGTCAGTAAACTAGGGCGATAAGTTGGTGGATTTCCTAGTGACGTTTGTAGGTTATGTGGTTAGCAATAGTTTGAAGGGGAGCAGGTAGATGAAAGGAGGATACAGAGGGCGCTTGGTTGGGTGCGCGAAAATTGAATCTGGGGATCGTAGATTTAATTGGTTAATTATTTTTAATAAGATAAAGAGTGTCAATGAAATGAGTATTGGTTTAGGAAGGGAGAGATGGTTAATGATTGGAAATGTCGAAGATGATAAGTGTTGGTTGGTAATATGGTATTAAAATAAGAGTATACGGTATTATGGAATTTTTGAATGTTCTATAATAGTTTAACGGTGTTTAATTGTTGTCTATTATAAGGGAATTGAAGAATCGTTTGTCATTCAAGGAGACCTGATTTGAAACTATTAATTTAGAAGGAAAAGTTTTTAATTCTTCTGGTGGTGATAATAATATGCATTTGAAATAGTTCTTTGAAATTGTTGTTAAGTTTAACTGTAATTAGTTAATAACATTAAAGTTTCTTAGATTTGTGAATCTAGTTAAGAATTAACTCAGATTGGGATAATAATAATAATAATAATTATGTTTATTAAGTTATATTAATCTATCTTTTTATTCAATAATAATTATATGATCAGTTAGATGAATTATTGAGGAGGAGCCATTTAAACGGGAGGTATAGTAGAGTTGATTAATTATTTAATTGGTATTCGTATTGAGAGGGAGGAGTTTGATTGAAATTGTTATCAAAGAGGTTTGATATTTTATTTGGAAATCCTTTTACGTGCTTTTTTGGGATTTGGAACCACGGTACTTTTATACCCGGTCGTTGGTATTAACAGTTATAATTTAAAGGGAGGTTTGTTTTTAAAAATATTACGGATTTTTGTATAATGGTTCACAAATGTGATTCTGTCGAGTTTTTCTCTGAGGCAGGATGCCGTTTTGGTCAAGGTCTGACCGTCTGTATTTTGACCAGGTATGAGCTAGAGGGTTAAGGCATTGGGGGTCTGTCATAGCGGACAATAGGATTGTAAAGAGGGGATTGAATTATCTGCTGGACGCTTGTTTTTTGCGAAGGATTTTGTTCTTCAAATATTGGAGTCGTTGTAGATGACGTATTCCTAATCTATTTGATTATTTAGTTTTTCTTGGGTTTAAAGAAAGGGAAATTATTTAGATAAGGCAGGAGGGAGAGTTGTTAATTTGAATGATGTCTGGGTTTAATTAATTTTATTAAGGAATTTTTAAAGTTATATGAGGGAAACTTTTATGTATAATATTCTGTTGACTGCTTTATCGGTGAAGGAAGAATAGTTGAGGTTTGAATAAGACCATTATATGAAGGGAGATGCATTATTGCAATGAGAGGACTAGGATTGGAGGAGTTTGTTAAAGGAAAACTTTTTAAAAAATGAATTTCCACTTAATGGAATAGTAGTGGGAATTTTGGATAATGAATAGTATGGAATTTTTATTAATAATAAGTTTATTAATTAGGGGATGTTGGTAATCAAGGTATCGTGAGATGTAAGGAGATGGAGAACAGATTTAGCTCGAATATAATTAATAGGGAACTTTTCAGAGAACTGGGGGAGACTTTAATGAATGAATCAGAAGAATAAGATTAACATATGAATTAGGGAACATGAGGGTTTGTAATGAGTTTTAGAGATGGTGGAGCGTTCTTTGATACTAATGTTTAACAATTGGTCGATAGGATTCTTGAGATTTGTTTGTTATTGTATAATGGGGGTGAAATAAGGGAAAGATTTTTTCTTTTGAATTATGTGTTTCATCTGGAGTGCCAGGATTTAGCTGAAGGTCTGAAATTGGTAAAAAGGAAGGATCGGTTAGAAACGGTAAATGTGAGATGGCAAGGGCAGGTATGGTATGACTCTTGAAAAACTGGAAAAGATGTTTGCGTGATTTATGATGGGTCTGTATATTTTGAGGAGAAACTTAGTATGTTCGGGGAAAATTTATATGTTTTTCTTAATTTATTAGTAGTGAACGGGTTTGTTGATGTACCAAGTTTGTTTTTGTTTAGAAATAAAGTTGGAAGAGGCTTACTAGGTGATATCTCATTATATGAGA